TGCCCACTCAGCCAGGACAGCAGCTCTCCTGGGCTCAGGGCTGGCTTGGGGCCGTGGGGACTCCTGGCTGGCTTGGGGCAGTGGATGTTGGGGGTGTGATGGGCAAGTCCCCCCCTGCACTGGCTGGCTCCTGGCTGAGGACGAGGATACTGACAGCCACTTTCTCCCAGAGTTTCTCTGTGCTTGAATCCTGCAATGGGAGAGGGCTGTGGTGGGCAGGATGGGTCTGTGGCCCCTCTGCACCCTGGGCCTGCTGCAGGACGGGTGGGTCTGCCACACTTCCCCCTCTCACCACATCCCTCCATCCCCACGTGGGATACCAGGAACTGCTGCCGTGTTCAGTACCCACAGCAGCTCCAGCCCAGGCCTTTGCTACCTACCTGAGGCTGTTGGATGGGCTGCAGCCCTGGAATGTTTGCAGGGAAATCACTTTGCTCCCTGCCCAGTTCTGGCTCCCCACTGCCTGCTTAGTTTTAACTTGTCCCTGGCATCTCCCACAGGGGCTGGTGGGGTGGCTTCCTAGCCCGACCACTGCCCAGAATCCGGGGGGCTGGTGAGGCTGTGTCCTTCAAGCAGGGGCTCAGCTCCCGGGGTCCTGCTCACCTTGTCTGGGCTTGAAAGGGGAGCTGTGTTTGGGGGGGGTGCCAGGGGGAGGAGAAGCCTGCACAGCACTTTCCCCAGCCCGATGTGGTGTCGCTGGGGCGTAAAATTAAGCGACTTCGGCACAAATTGAAACCTTGCATTGATTTCTCTTCTTTTTCAGTCTTGTTTTGTTTTGTGTGGGGTTTTTTTTTCCCCTTTTTCTCCTCTTGTCACTCCTGTCGGACCCCCCCCCCCAGCCCAGACTGGGAGGTGCTGGGTTGGGTGCCTGGCTGGCCCCAATGGTGAGGATGGGAAAGCCCAAGTGCCAGGGGTGCCCCCAGCCCTGGTGCCCAGGTGATGATGCTCTGTCACTATGGAGTGGCTTTGGTTGGTTGTCCCTCCACTCAGCCACCCCTGGGCAAGGGTTGGAGTGGGGCTGAGCAGGCACCTGGACCTGTCCCCTCTGCCTGCAGCATCTCAGCCTGCCTCGACCTCTCAGGGCCACTCGTGTTCCTGTGTCCCCCTTTGGAGTCCCCAGTTGCTGGACGGCGGGGACACCCCCCATCCCTCTCCTGGGGAGCAAGGCACAGGAGGTGTATCTGAAAACGCACTGGTTTTCTTTCCTCCCCCTTAAGCCAGTTCTTTGCCAGATGATTCAAGAGCAAAACTATCTCAGCTGCTCCGTGTGAGTGTCTTGGCAGCGTCCGCGGGCGCCTTGTGACCGTGGGGACTGCGGGGCCGGTGGGTGACACAGGCTGCAGGCGTGTGCAGTGCCAGGGGGAAGCCTGATGCTGTTGGCAGGCCTTGGCTCCTGCTCACTGAAGCACCAAGGTGTTGGTTGGGGCCACCAGCTCCCGTGGGTCATCGTTTGGAGCTGCTGCCAGGTCGCTGCTGGGTCACAGGTGCCACAGGGCTGCAGGCAGGCTCCTCACCCCAGCCCTGCTCACTGCCTGTGTCAGGATGCTGGGAACACCCCCTCCTGGGTGGTTTCCCTGGGTCTGGGGGCTCTTGGAGCACCACCTTTCCTCTCCCAGTGCTGATCACCAGTTTGGGGCCGGGCTCTGAGTGTGGTGGGGTTTGTGGGGCTGTGGTTGGGAGCCCAGCGTGGTGGGGCTGGTGGGCGCCCGGCTGGGTGATGGTGCTTTTCTGCTTCTCTCTGCAGCTTGGGCAGGACCCTGCCATGGTTACGGGCACAAACAGGCCCAGCTACACCCCTGGTTATTTATATCCCCCGGAGCAGACAGGCTGCCTGCTCCACCTCTGCTGAAGGGCTGCTGGGACAGGGATTTATAAGACTCGCTGTTTATACAGCAGCAAACGGTGCTCAGGGAGGTGAACCCCGTGGGCTGGAGAGTGACCCACCATCCCTGTCCCCAGCCCCACTGGAGCTGGGCTTGGGCAGTTTTGGTCCAAACAGCACCATGGGGACCTGGCAGTGCCATGACAGGGGAGGGAGCTGTGCCTCGGGTAGGGGCTGTTTGCTGGCTCATCCCCTGGCTGAGCTGCTCATCCTGCAGCTCCTGGTGTTTTCCTGCCACTTAGTTATTGCTGGGCTGGCACTGGGAACCTCCCTGATCCTGCTTGTGCCTCTGGCCTGGGGCTTCCTCACAGGGGGGTGGTCTGGGCCAGCCTCACCAAGGCATGGGGGTGCTCAGCATCACCCCCTCTTTCCAGCCTGGGCACTGGCTGGGGCTGGGGGATGCAGCCTGGCTGGGTTCTTCCACTGCATGGGCTCTGAGCATCACGGGCACAGCTTTGCCCAGGCCATACCAGGGTGTAGCCCGTTTTCCCAGGGGTGTTTGGACAGACACGGGGTGCCAGGCTGGTGCCCCATTGCCCAGCTCTGTTCCTGGGACCAACCTGGCTCAGGTTCCCCTGAGCTCAGCAGCTTTCCCAGCTCACCTGTTCCTCCACTGGCAGCAGGAGCACATGGTAAAGTCTGCTCTAATGAAGATTAATGTGAGGGGATTCGCCTCCTCCAGCCCTGCCCCCTGCTGGGTTTTAATTATTCTTTTGGGGAGGCTTTGCTCCTGCAGGGGTGAGAGCAGCCGGAGGGATCCCATCCCTGTGCCCAGGCTGCCAGTGGTGTGTCCCCACGTGCCAGCAGGGAGGTGTGAGGGCAGCAGTGGGAGCCTCTCGGGGAGGGGGCTGGTGGGGGCTACAACAGGGAGTTTACTGGGGAGACCTGATGGACCAGCTCAGCAGCAACAGCATCTGCTCCCTCCATCCCCAAGGACTCTGGCACAGAGGAGCTGGGAGGCAGAGAGGCTCCTGCCCTGCCATCTCTTCCCCATTCCCACTTTTCCTGGCAGTGCTCCTTTTTTTTTAAAATCATTTTATTATTCTTATTTTTGTGTGGTGGGGAAGATGAGAAGAGCAGGGATCTGGGGAGGCGGGGGAGCCTGGCACTGCTGGCACCACGTGGAGTCTGATGGAGAGGTTGGCTGAGCCCTTGGTGTGGGGAAGCTGCTGAGAACAGCTCTTCTGCCTGAAGAGCTGTGTGCCCCTGGGGGAGCCAGGGGGGTCCTGGCTCCCAGAGCTGCCTCCAGACATCTGACCCTCTCCCTAAGCCGCTTTGGCGCTGCCGCCAGCCGGGCCGGGGCGTTTGCCCAGGCTTTGCAAGTTAATTCCTAGCAGGTGATGTGTTCCCAGAAAGTTTCATTCCCAGCCGGCCCTGAGGGGCCTCGCATGCCTGTATCTTTCACCAAAATCCTCTGGGATGCTGGGGCAGGGGGACAGGCAGGAGGCATCACCCCCCTTTCCATCACCACCCCTGTGACGTGGCTGCACCGACTGGTCCAGTCACTCGTGGCTGAGGGGACAGGTGACAATGGGGCTCCAGCTCAGTGCAGAGACACCATGACTTTGCTGCTGGAGGCAGGGCCACCCCTAGCATGTCCCCGTGGGAGCAAGGTAAGCCCAGGCACTGGAGACCTCCCCCCTCCCCATCTAGAAGCACAAATCTTCCCAGGCTAGGAGGTTTCTGCCTTCTCCTCTGCTTTGTGCTCGGCTGCCCGTGTAATTGCCTGCAAAATCCTGATTGTATAATCTTGATTGCTGATGATGTGCAGAGCAGAAAGGCTCTGCCCTGGGTGGCTCAGCCAGCTCTTGTTTAGCTCCTTGGACCAAGTGCCGGAGCTGGGAGACCAGTGACCTCCCTGGTGCTCCCATGGCACCACTGGCATCCCTGGCAGTGTGGGCAGGACGGGGGCTGGGCTGTGCCATCACTGGAGAACTGCTGTGCTAGAGGAAAGGGGCTCGATTAATAATTCAGAGGGAGAAGGAACTGGCTCCAGCCTTCTGTCTCGCAGCTGGGAACAGGAACATTGTCCCCTTGGAGAGGTGCATCGTCCTCCATGGTGAAGGCAGGGTGGTGTTGGGGCTGGGACACCCCCAGTCCCTTCATTCCTCTGGCTGGCACCTGGTGGGTCCCTCCAGCTCTGCCTTCTCCACCCTCTGGATCCAGCCCTGCCCCTGTTCCCTGGGGTTTCTCTTCCCTCGGTCCCATTTCCAGTTTTCCCTCATGTTGGCTTTGGGGAAGGGGACCTGCTGTCCCCTTTAGGTGGGTTTGGAGCAGGGTGATGGTGCCCCTACTGCCACGGGGCACTTGGCAGTCCCCTTATGAAGCTCCATCTCGGCAGCAAGAGGAGATGGAAAACTGCTCCCAAAGGGATGTCAGGCAGCATCTGCCTGAGCCCCCCAGGCTCCCTGGAGTGGTCCCAGGGGTATTGCTCACTGCAGGGAGATGGTGCTAGGTATGTGAGATGGGTGCCCACCAACTTGGGGACAGGGTTCCTGGGCCTGTTGATGCCCCCTCCTGGCACAGTGGTGCCCATGGGGGTGTCCAGGGCCCCCCGTGCCATCCCAGAGCTGGCTGTGGCAGAGCAGTGGCCCTTGTCACACCATCACGTGGGCTGGTGGCACAAGCCCTCCACTTTCCAATTTTAGAATCGCTGGATCAGGGGAAAAAATGTATTTTTGGAGTTTCATTTGCTTCAGCTTCAGAGTCTATTTCTTTTTCCCCCCCCCCTCCTAATTTTAAATGGGCTAAAGCCCCTTAACCCAATGCTGGGGCAGCTCTTGTTAACTCTTCCCCTGGTTGGCTGTTCCCAGTTGGCTCCCATGGCCCTGGCAGGTCCCCATGGTGGCAGTGATGTTGGGGACAATCAAGAGAAGCTCTTGTCCCCTTTCTGCAGCAGCAGCACCCTGCCATGGTGCAGGACCCCCCAGCTCCCTCCCTGCCTCTAATTAGAGGTTGCTTTGCCCAGGCAGAGGCTGCAGAGTGTGGCACTGAGCCCCATGGTCCTTCTCAGCGCCCCTGGGGCATGTGCTGTGCCACCAACATAGGATGGCACGTGTGCCCTGCAGGGCTGGTCCCCATTAAGGGGGGACCAGTGGGAACAATGTTCCTTCTGGGCATGGGGCTGGGGGACATAATGTGACCCTGGGCCCTTCTCGAGGCAGAGAGCCTGTCCCAACACCAGTATCCATGTGCTCTCCTTCCAGATTCCTCCTTGTCTTCAGCTGCCTGGTATTGTCAGTCTTCTCCACCATCCACGAGCACCAGAAACTGGCCAACCAGTGCCTCTTCATCCTGGTAAGTGGCTGAGCTGGCGCTTGGGACTCCCCCTCCCTACACTTCACCCTTGGATCATGGACAAAACCCCCCTGACCCCTTTCCCAGCCTGGATATCCCCACGGACAGTATGGGCAGCAGCTCTGGGGGAAGCTGCAGGGTCCTCATGGCTGGGGGTGCCCCCGCAGCTCGGGGTGCCCCCTCCCCACGGTGCTGAGAGGCACAAACCGCTGGAAAAGCCAGGGCAGGAGGGGCTAAAAAAAGGCAACTTTCCCCCAAACTGTCAGAAACGGCTGACGCTGGAGTTCTGGGGAGTGAGGGAGACTAAATCGGGAAGGTCCTTGTGACTTTCCCGCGAGGAAGCAGAACGGGGGCTTGTTTGTGCGGGAGGGAGGAGGACAATGCTGACGGCAGAGGAACAGGACCCAGCTCGGTGTGAGCAGAGGCAGCAGAGCCGGGATGCTCGGACAGGCTCCACAGCTCCCGTCTCACCGCCCTGATTCCCCTGGGATGGCTCCAGCCAGGGCTGGGTCAGGGAAGGGGACACACACACACCCACCCACCCCCACC